TTTTAAGACACTTTTCTCCCCAGATCCGTGCTTGTTATTTTCGCTAATGAAAAGTATTGCCGGTAACGCAAGTCCAAACAGCGCTTATTTTTGGTCTCATCGCCACCAGTAATTACTACCAATTTTGATGGACAGTTTGTGCATTAGCAGAACAATTCATTGTAATTGCGACATCGCCAATCATGTTCACTTTGATAGACGTGAATGAGGTGGGATAATGCCTAAAGAAAGACCCATTCAGGCGTGGGCTTTAAGCCAAGATGAAACTGCCCCTGTTGGAAATGGAAACAAAACTACACAAAGATGCACTTTTATGAATAAAAACTAATTATAAACACTTGTCTGAGGTTTATTTCAGCCTGAGTGTGACTTTTTGAAAGCAGCTTATCAACATATAAGGGTAGTGCGGTTGGCAGGTTGGGAAAGGTAGAGCAACCTATCCTGAAGGGAATTTCTTCTCACTAGCCTATTTGAGGAATGAGGCCTTGTGCGGTGCTGCATCCAGTGGCTCAACTCAATGCTCCTGCTGATTTCTGAGGCAGAAACGTTTGCTTCTAACCACCAGTTCACACCACATCGTTAACATAAGTGGGTAGGAAGTGCCTTTTTTTACTTCCAATATGCGAGTCATCTATAGTGAAAAATCACGGCTGAGTTCGTTGATGAAAGAAGGACTTAAGGATTACCGTTGATTTTGTATTCCAAGGTCATCTGTTGGTCAGCAAACAAGGAATGAATAAAAGGCAAGCTTTATGCCTTGTAGGAAGAGATACAAAGACGATGGTCTTCGTTGCTCCCTAGACCATACCTTGGAATTTAATGACACTCATTCACACAGACATCATCAATTCTTCTTCATTTCAAACCAAATTCCACCCCAAAACAAGTAAATGCTACATCTGCTACCGCAAAATTGGCCACTCAGGAAGGAAACGCCCTGGTACCACACCTCCTAAGGATAGACCAACTCAAAACTCATGCACCAAGGCCACGACATTTAAAAGATGCCCACATAGTGACTTCGCATAATCACGTTTTGCGATTCCTTCACACGAAAGCTGGAATGCATTCATTACTTCCTTGAAAGTTCCAACAAACGTTTTCTTCGAGATGGATAAAAACGTCGCCTGAGCATTTACTGTTGGCTGTTTTGCACATTTGCATGGATTACTCAGCAAGTTAGGCAAAAATGAGCAATATTTATTCATTATCATATTGCTTGTTATTATATTCATTTATTATTAATTTTGCCTGCAATGTAAAAGGAACCTGATCAAAATATAGTCCATACGTATTTTGAAAAAAATGTTTAGCAAATAAGAGAGTATTCATTCACCATGACTAATATGAAGTGAATCCAGGCTCCTAATCGGCGCCAGGACTAAATTTACTCGGCTTTAAGGTCCTTTAAGGCTAAATGATGGCTCACATCTTGAATGCTCGTTGAAGAGAAGATACAAGAGACGAGTTTCTAGTACGGAATCCTATCAACCATTGGGTGGAAAATGCCCTTACTTACTTCTACAATGGCAGGCTTTTTGCGAAGGCATCTTTACAAAACATCCGATTTGTGAAGTTATTTCAAAACATGGTTTACTTTTAACTATCAATGCATTCAAACAACAATGAGTAAATCAGTTGACGTTGGAATATAGTTCTCCTTTGACTCTAAAAACGGTTCCAAAAACGTCAAAGGTTTACTATGTTACATAGTACATAGTAACGTTCAAATGACAATAACTGATAAGGACTGCCAAATTGTTCTAAATTTTCTCTAAATAATAAAATCATGGCCTACATCTGCTTACTATTTGTTCAATAAGGATTTGGCTGAGGATTTACTGACCGGTTAACAAGTGAGCAACAAGGAGCGCTGAATACCAGAATTCGTTAAGTGAACGATTACATGGTCCGTCAACAACAATCCATCCAACCACCATCAAAGCCGCACTTCTGAACCACGCGTCAACGCGATCATCGCCCACCTTCTCCACCACAATCATCCAGATGCTGACGGTCAAGCGATCGCACTTGCCGCCTACTCCCGCCCTCCACGTTATACATCCTCGCAGTGCGCAGCCACTACTTCCTCCCTCTCAGACACTGACTGATCTCGTTAGAGGTCCCTACTCCTCCACATCAACACACACCAGCGTAAGGGAAAGGGGGAAGGGGAAGACTGTCCCACGACAATAGCATAACATGGCCCAAGACCTCATTTCGCAAAGGACACCGGTGAGCAGACCCTCACAATCCGAAGTGCTGAGGGACATGGTGGTGTTCCAACAACTTCTTCTCCTCCTCCTCCTCCTCCTCCTCTTCTGCTTCGGCTTCTTCTTCCTTTCTTCCTCAGCTTTGCCCATGGTAAGGATAACGACTATAACAGGGTCTACAAGTGATGCATGTCACACCTTCTGGCCACCAACATTTGAGGGACTAACGCAACCACAACGGGGTAGATGAGTGAACGCATGCACAAAAGGATCGCGTCCACCTCCATTCGCGCACACGACAGTCGCCTCAATGCTCGCGAATTGCTTCCACCACTCCACAAAGCATTCGCTCTCAACCACCATGTTGACACGTCGCCTGATTGTCGTCCTCTCGCCACACCACACAACCACTTTGGTGTTGCAGGTAGGCAGAGAGTAAACTTACTGAAACAAGAAGCTGACTCGTCGAAGGTGCTGATGCTGATACAGTAGAGTGTGCAGAGGTCAATGGGAAGGATTGAGATTGCGTGGTTGAGCGCAATGGCTGTGCACGCTAACAGTGGCATACGCCGACGGAGGTGTGACTGAAGACTGGTGAAGGTATCGCTGGATCGAGTGAGTTAGTGGTTGGAAAATGATCACAGGAGATGAGAAGTTGGAGGCGGGTAGTGGAAGCAAGAGTACGGAGCTGATGAGTGAGTTGGATGCGAGGGTAAATGAATGAGTGATAATGCTGTGGCGTTGAGAAGACTAAAATGCAGCCATCAGTCAATTAGATTTATCACTGCACTAATCTTCCTGTCCAGTCAGACAATAGCAATCTGATGGACAGATTGTTTTGACAGTCACATTTCCCATCAATTATGCGTCAGCTAATGCGACATCTGTCATCGCTTAAGAATAGCCGTCATAATGAGGAGCATAGATGTCTTTTTTGAGAGAAATCATGCAGAAATTTAAGGTCTTTTAAAAGGTTAGTGAAACGGTATTTCAACATCATACGTTTTTACCATTTTTTAACACATCTCTATGCATCCTCTATTTATTCAGAGTAAAACTACTAAGTTTAGTCCATACTTATAAGTTTCACAGCTTTCCTACACGCATCCGTAAAGATTTCAGATTGCCGGAGATGAATGGAACTAAGCGAACCTCACGAATTAAAGGGGTCTATCTTGGAGATGTTGATAAATTGATGCAAAGCTGAAAACATCGTCAACCAAGTAACACGCCTCTTCAACTGCACGTGTCAGCAACACGGCAAAATCCTATCAACCAAATTAACTTCTGTGCCCATAACTATTAACACTGTTAGTCCATTTGGATATTCACCTAACGGAAATTACGCATCAGAGGAATGCTGATAGGAAATTGCAACTCTCAAATGGACTCCTTAAAGCCAATCCCAAAGCACCATATTCACCAGTTTTCGTGGTTTTTAAGGGAATCTACCGTTTGAAAACGATGTCAGTATGGACCGGGCCTTTAGCATTTGAGACTTTTTGCTCGCGATGAAACACCTCTCCCTAGAGCACGCAGTTAAGTTTATTCTTTTAAGGCTTTTGTTTATTCAGCGAAGGCTACTTCACAAAATGCATTCCTCATCATGATTCGCAGAATGAATCAATGTAAACAAACATTACATGATTTTAAAACCTGTGAGAATTCAACAACAAAGTAGGCCCTCCATAATCTTTTACTACATGGTGGTGCAGTTTCCTCTGCTTTTGCTCCTAAGTTAAAGGGTACCAAAACCGATTGTCAAGGGAAAAGGGTCAACCATGCCTTGATTCATTCACCGTCAATGAATTCACCTCTGGAGCTAAGTTCGCCCAAATTATGTCCAAACGGTTCAGTAAGATATCACAATTTTAGCAAATCCTGTCTTGGGAACTACAAGTCGAGTGAAAATCGACGCGCAGTATGAATTCACAGCCTTCAATACCAGAGTCTACGAAGACAAATAAACACAAAAGAACCAAAGAGAACCTTTACTGAACAACTTTATCTCCTTTCACTCCTCCAGGACCACATTGAACTGACTATTGATTTTTGCCCAAAATAAATAGTATGACAGTGCATTTAATAAAGCAAAACTTCCATAATCTTCTAAGCTGGCAAACACATCAGTTACCTAAATATTTTAAAATGGAAAGCAGCTTAAATTTTGGATTTATTGCTAATTTAAATTAATGTCGACACTGGAAATTCACCATCAAAGAGACATGAGAGTTTTGCCTACACACACTGACGAAGTAATTAATCATATTGATGCAGTTGTAAAATTTTATCTCCCCCGTGGTGACAATTAATCAAACGCACGGAAACGGGGCCATGATTAAACACTTTCTGTCTGGCAGTTGCAACTGCTAGCTGTCTTAGGCGGTAGCTAATTTTATTTCTAAAAATGTATGTCAGTATATTGCTTTTACTGTTAACGGAAGTGGGAAATAAAAGGTGCCTAAAATGTCTGATTACTTAAGCGACAAAATAGTAGGTATCATACAAGTGCGCACCACTAAAACGTGCATTTTACACTATACAGCTATCGAGTGAAACTGACAAAAGATAGAACAAATCCTACTTTCTAGAGGCATAAGTGAAAGTCAGTCGTGCACAAGCCATTAGTCCGGCAAATAGCATTGAACTCCAAGTAGTAACATGACCCAATGGACACGCAAGTAGAGTATATTTCTCAAATCAAGTCACCTTCATCAAGCACTGAAGAAGTCTTCGAGTGGAGAGCGAGGGAAGGTAAACATTTCATGAAATACATTCATTTAACCGTTAACTAGCCGGATCGGCATCCATCGACACCTCCGGAATAACCTTCTTAACATGACGCGGTCCATAGAGGAGGATGTAGGCGCTGTGATATTCGCCGCCACCGGAAAGCTTTAAGATGTCCTCTTCATCCACTTCGGAGACTTTTGTATCGTCTAATTTGAACCATTTACCTACAAGCAAGAAGCAATGAAGATTATACCTAGGAGAGGGGCATATTATTTTGAAGAACAAATGCAAACCTTTGCGTTTAATCCAAGCAACATAGTGACCCATACTCATGCGCCCTTGATGGGAAACCACACCTTGGAGCTCATAGAAGCCCGTATTATTTGAGCCAAGATCATCCTCCAGCCAGTAGGGATCGTACAATTCAGGGTTGTCTTCAGCATTAGGCGGTTTTTCTGAAGAAGTCCAAAGTGGCGTTGCGAGCAAATTGAAAAAAGAGGTAAAGAAAATTACCGAGTGGCAACCTTCTTTTGAAGCACTTGCGAGTTTTCGACTCTTTGCGGCCATCGATTCAGCGTCCTCTTCGGTGCGCGCTTTCTCGCGTTGGGGTAGCAGTTTAGTTTGCAGCTCCTTTGTGCAGAACTCGAAGAGATCCAAACACAAGGGGAACTTGACGTCCTTCAGGATCTACGATGCGTTAGAACCTCTACTGATAAAGCTTAAGTACAAACTATCCTTTATAAAGTCAATGTTTTGGAGAAACATTACATGGCTTCATAAATGCTTGAATAATGGCTACACGCAGTAAAACTGACCCGATAACTTGATTTATAAGGTAGATATTTTGTCAGCCTAATGAACAACAAGCATGGGACCCTGTATTGTCATTCGCTTTCAGTGAATGAAACAAAAGCGCAAAGCAAAAAAACACCTGTTTCTAAATAAGGTTCTATAACCATAATGGTGACAGAGATACTGGAAATTCCATCATTCTTGAAAGGACGAAGTCCAGAACGGCGCACCAGACATGCAGATATTAACAGAAAGGAAAGCAAAAAAGTTCAAGGCGTGCAAATCGAAATTTCACGATTTATCCTGGTGACAATATTCTATAGACCGTATTGCAAAACCGAAAACTTTACACACAAGGTGGCATTCGACGAAGATACATAGTATGGCTTAGTATTTAGGCATTTAGGATGTGAAAAAGGATCCAACCGATTCAAAATTACATGGGACTTAAAGTAAACTTAACGTCTGTAACCAATGCAAAGTTAGACCGAAGCAGAAAAATTAATTCTGTCAAAGTGTGTTGGAAATTCCAACCCAGTCATGATGACTAGAAAAGCGGCTTATTGAATGCTTGAAGAAAATGGTGAATAAAGAGCGAGTGTGGTGAGAATGGAGAATGGGTTGACACGCCCCGTACAGACTTCCCATAGTCTACAATCGATTTGGCACTACACGTGCCTCTGCTAAAACACTCCAACCTGTGTTGTCACTAGTAGAGCATATTTAGCAGATAGGGACAAAAGCCTATCGCATTAACGAAGCCTTAAGTGTTACGATAGCCAGAAACTGTTTGTAATAGGCAACAGAACACGGAGCATTAAACATGACAGAAGAGTAAACAAGCATTGTACAATGAAGCTAATAATACCAAAAAACTACAAAAGATAAACAACCTGCACAAGTTCCAAAGACGTTATTCTGCTTTTCCAAAAACCAGATCGAAAATTAAATAGCCCACTAAACTGGAAAAAAACGTTGATACATCATAAAATAAGTGCGTGCATATTTGTCGGTTCCTTTAATCTCCATCATTTCTGAGTAGTTCGACCCACCTTGGCATTAATCTTTTCCTTCTCCTTGTAAAAGAATCGCATAAACTGAATGCAGAGGTAGCCAGGAAGACGGGAGATACGTGAAACCTTTTTGTAGGTTGCCTCGCGGCCCAGTGTGGTAGAACTCTTCGTGAGCGTTCCCTCCAAGCCATTGCGAATCCCGGTGTGCAGATACTTCACATCTGAGGGTGAAAGAGTATGCGATGAAAGGCTTGATAACCAGTCCCGGAGGAGCAGGAGAATAATGCCACCTTTAACGATAAAGCATGAGAGCTGGGAAAACGTGTCCACGGCTTCCTGTGGTGCCTCTTCTTCATTCTCTGTGCAAGTGAGTGTTGAGACTAGGGAGCCGGTAAGATATCGATCCACAGGATTCCAACCCGTTGATGTGCCAAAGGATTCAGGGCAAGGCTATAATAAAAAACTGATGGTACCACATTGATGCCACAGTAGTTACCCTACATTTGTGCCCTCCCAGACCTACTATCATCATTATCTTCATCAACATATTAATTATATTAATATATTGACAATATTAACAACAACAATAATAATGTATTAAAAGATTAGCTTCAAGCCCTACACAAAAAAGTATTTCAATCTTTCTATACAATAAACAAGAGTTTAGTAAATCACCAGGGTTGACTTTGAACGTCACAAGTGAAAAAAACCACCTACCGAAGTTATAACTTTTGCATCAGCTGACAGCTGCTGCAAAACACGGATGACCTCAACCCAACACTCGTTGGCGTCCTGTTGCTGATAGATTGGCTCATTGCCACCTTCAGACGTTGAAGCATCAACATTTGCGCGCGTAGCAAATTGTGGGAAAGCAGATTGCAGTGATTCAAGAAAAACGAGAGGAAAGATGCAAGAAGAAGAAAACGCGAGCCCGTTGAAGATCAGACGCAAAGCAGTAACCATATCCTTTACTTTCTGCGGCAGTGACGCTGCTGACTGTATGGGAGCTCTAAGAAATAAAGCCGAGGGATATAAAAGAACAAATGGGAAATACCTCTGAATGAAAAGCCTGATTTCTGGAATAGTAAATAGGAGTTGAAGTGCACTATTCATGTAGCAAGTATTGCCAAGGTTGGCCATACCGATGGGGACCCTCGGTGCATCCGACTGATCTGATTTTGGCGGCAACAAGGGGGTAACCAACCCTTCGATGACAGGTTTAGAAGTGATGCTGACGGGCAACTCCTCTGCAGAACCCATTAGCATCACAGTGGCACCCTATAAAAACGTTATACTAAAAAACTTGGTTGCACATTTCTCAGCTTTATTCGATCGAAGGACGTATCTCCGAGAAGACCACCAGGCATCATTACTTTTTGGCGCTCAGGAGGAACACCCGTTAAGGAAAACAGTTGTGCCTTGAAGTCTTCAGGAGGGCCATCAGTATTGACTTCAATGTCAGTAAATTTCTGCGAATTCCATTTGACATTAACTAAATCCAGGTAATTTTTGCAAATCCACAAACCTCTGAAAACTGGCATGACAAAATACGAGGAGGCTCGAAACCAACGCCTCTAATCATCAAGGTAAAAAGCACCAGCAGCAAGACTCATTTGCAGAAAAGAAGGACAATTTCGCTTACAATTCGCGTTACGTTGCATATTGATCAAAGCGAGATGAGATTCGAAAAGCCAAAAAATACTTTGTCGAGAGAGTAGAGGAAAAAAGGAATACATGCAAAGATTTTTGCTAAACGTGTTCTAAAAGACGCGGAGCGTAACTGCGTATAACGGAGCTAAAAGAGCCGGAGCGAAAAAGGATTTAACGTTGACAAATTGGCACAAATGTTGTTAAGCAAATCAGACCATATTTCTTAATCTCTAACTTTACATGAAAGAAGGTCATGGTTGAACTTTTAGTTATTAATGTGTACGATTTACGAACCAAAAAAGTAAAAGCAAAACCATTAAATTGCTTTAAAAATTGTTATTGGTTAGCACATCAGACCATTGTTGATGGGAAAAATACACTATACATTAAATTTACGATTAGTTTGTTTAAAATTCTAAAATAACAGCGCGATGGTCAAATTTTCCAAAGGAAGCAAATTTTGTTCAAGCTAGCATCATCCTTCAAAGCGCAGCAAACGAGATTCATATGTAAGCTCATAAGAGCCTTAACATTTATTTGCGTTTAAGTGCTTCGACTTTGCAAAATTAAAAATTATAACAAGACCTTTTTAATTTTAATAGGCCAATTTACTTTGTTCCAACCTCTTTCTCATTTTTAATGTAGTTTGTATGAATTGGCCATATGTAAATATGAAAATCGCTGCTTTTATATTAGGCAGTGCATATTGAGCGCTTTTGTTTAATTCGGTTTTACGTTGGAATGTTAAAAATCATTTTAATGTATGATTGCTCCTATGGCCCGTATATCGCACACTTTGATATGCATTTGTCTTGAAATGTTTTCTGCTTTTTTGCTAAGTAGCAAGTTGTTGTTACATTAATTTTTTGGTAATTTTTTTTACTTCTTCAGAATCTGTTGCTCTTTACACTTTTCACTATTAGTAATTTTTCTAAAGCACTTCGAAATATTTTGAGTATTTATGTTGTGCACAATTTACACCTTTGCGAACGCTATTCATATTTATTCAATTTTTTAACCCTAAATTTGTTGTTCACCCATTTGAATCTCCTTTGAACTCACTTGCTTCAGGAATTAGGATGATTCAATTCTTATGTTTGAAATAGAACCTTCAAATGTCAAGTTTTTTTCTGTAGTATGCGTGATTTTGTACTAAAACATAAGCCTCTGTACCATGCAGTTGAAATACAGTATCCACTCTTTTATGATATCTCTAAGAATACTCCACCCAATGCCAATCACCTTCCTTTCCTGCCAAGTTGGAGGCAATGTTGTTGCTTCATTATGCTAGCGGCATTGCTGCAGCACAATGCAAAATGACTCTAAGTAGTTCCATGTAATGCGTTAAGCAAGGAGTTTCGTATTTTTTTTCAAACTCGTTGATTTGTGCTAACAATTTTACTGTAGCATTTCTCTTAGTATCCTCTTTTTTAGACACGATTTTAATTAATGAATGTTCCTTATACCCTGCAGTGGGAGCATCATGGTGCAAATTTTTGCTTATCGCTGCATTATATCAATCAGAAATGCCATTATTTTTTAGTTTTATTATGGAAAGGTCTTTACAAATATTGAGGTGCCCTCGAAACTGCGTATAATTAATTTTGTAACGCATGTAGTCAGTCATCCATACACTCATGCACAAGTTATTTCACCGAACGATGAATAGAATGAAACGTGTATGTGTATCACATGACATAAATGAGTTCAATGCGTATTTTGCTGTATGGAGTAAATGCGTGATAATGTTTTTTACTGTACCCACTCATGTAGACTTAATAAATATCCACATCCATTCGAGTAATACTTGCACGGCACCATGACAGCAAACGATTTTCACACTACATATACTTCTTTACGAGCTTTATCTGTTAGTAGAGCTAGCAATAACTAATCATATTAAACTAATTTCTCCCTAATTCATTACTGATGCTGTTGTTCATTCTAAAGCAAACGATGCTTTGACATTTATTGACTAACTTTTAAAACAAGGTTTCCAAATATCTTGGTAACTATTTTCCTCCTTGGATAAAAAATGAAGCCTTGTTCACTAATTCAATATAATTGCACATTTTACAAGCATCTTTAAAGTGTATTTTCCGAGTTCCCATCGTCTCCTTTTGTTGCCATTTGCTTTCACGAAGTATTGTAAAAATTCGCGTCCCAGTGCAACCTTCCCATTTTATTCACCGGTCATAAAATGCAACATGAAGCACACCGCCAACACAATAATTACTGGTTACAACGGTGTAGTGATTCCCTTGTAAGACGCATGAACGCCAACCATTTGAAAGGGAGTGAGCATTGACTCATGCGAAATGAGGCATGAAGAACCAGCGTTCTCAGTCAATATCCTGTGAATTGCTCCAATACTGTTAGCAAAAATTTTGGGCATAAATCTAAGCGCGAGACATCTTTGTGCGGGTTGTTTTAACATCAATGAAACTTTAAGCTAAACACCATCCGGCCTACCAAATGTCTTATAATTGTTGCTCCTCCTGCGCTTGAGATCGTTGCTATGATCTCCCAATTATTATGACTAATGCGAAAATGGATATCTTCAAACAGATGTAAACGTAAACAGGAGAGATTATCTTGAGTGCAAGCTGCCTTAGAAGGGGAGAGGAACACGGCATCCGTTCTTCACTCCATGTTTCTGCAAGGCTTTTACACACCCAGTCCATTTTCTGCAAAAGTAGGGGAGCACAGTGAATTGGCTGGAGAAGAGCTTGCCATTTTGTTTTTCCTTGTAACCTAGCTTGATGCAAAGGAAATCAAATTCAGTTAGGCAGGCATCAAATGGACGAGTTCTTGTGAAAAAAAGAGGAATTCAATACCGGTAGTTCCTTCGCCATTTTATCACCCCAGTGAGGACTAGTAGCTTGTGAAATATAAGCAGGACCCCTTGGAAGTCATGAAACCGGGCGAAATAACCAATTAAAATGTGTTGAGCGATGACATGACCTACAAACTGCTGTCACAAAAAGCCCAAGGATTGCGGGTATTTGACTAGATTTAGGGAATCTTCAATGCAATAACGGCATTGAGCAGAAACTATTTTCCGTGCTATGCTACAGAGCCTTCCTAGGCATGCATTGTCAAACGACCTTAAAACAGTGACCTTAGAAAACACCATCCTGTAGGCCTTTAGTGTGAAAAATGTGATAAAATGATCTGCATAATGTGATTACATTACTTATTTCCATGGATTTGATGGCTCGTTAATGACCACATAACTCAGTGCTTAAAAACTAACCTTTGTGGTCCCTTTTGGTGCAAAATTTGTCGCTAACAGGAAAGCTCCATCTCTGCTTCCGATCCATTTACATCTCTAGTTTCTGTCGATTAATACAAAAGGGAGGGAAGGGGAGATGATGAAGGCTTGGCCTCCTCCCTACTTCTATCGTGAGTAAGTTCAGCAGCAAGATTGTGCTGTGGGTTGCCATTTAAACGCTAGACAGTCATACGAGACGTTCGCCAGCTTTCTATCCGTTCGTGAAGAAGGTAATTTTCCTGTACGCACTCTGGTTGAATCCGGGCCTCTATTTTAGCCTTCACCACAGAACACAATGCATCAACCAGCCGAGCCTGCAGTCAGCTATGCATGATCAGTATTGTGAGATGAGGTGTCGAATAGACTGTAAGAGATGACAAACGATGTTTCTGCTTGTCTAGCAAAAGTTATAGTGCATAAATAGCCCTTCATCGTCACTTCCTCGTTCTGTTCCCATGACTCAAAAAGGAAGACACTGATTTAGAAGTCTTCGAAATACATCATTGACTGTGTACTTATACAGCATTACACATACTATCTCGATTTCTCCATCCATCATCTCCTTTATGTCAAACATTGTCAACACTCCTCCAGTAGCATGTTGCCACGAATGCACAGCCCTTCTTGGCGTCGTGCATCTACCCAGAGACTGGAGTACAAATAATTACAATCAAATTTTAATTTGTACACTTTGCTAACCTAACTCATTCAGAAGTCTCATCCTAAAGTTATCGTGCGTCCTTTAATGCTTACACCAGTCCATTCAGGACGTCGACTAAGTGTCCAAAAGCTGTCAAACTTTACAGTTGTGCGGTGTTAGACGTTTTTCTTTTCATTTTCAAGACACACTTGCCTTCAAAAATGCTTCATAATTGTCCATTTTTTTCAAAAGAGCATCTAAACTTTGATATTTGAATTTCCCATTTGACTCAATAAGTCAGCATTTAGCGAAAAAAACGTCGAAGCAACGGATCCTCTTCGGTTTGGTGTAAGAACAAAGCCTCGTGTCTATCGCATTCTGCCTCCTACGGGTTATTCCTCTAATGAACTTTCTAACGCTGTTCACATCTAAGATGAACTTAGTTGTTAATAAACTAATAGTGAGCTTTGGGTTGCTGCCCGTTTTGGTACCAGTTATGACTCCAAATTCAGCCACTGCTTTCAAGGTCTTGGTTCATTTTAGGAGATTTTGCTTATCCGTCCTCAACATTGCAGTGTTTATGTCATCCCTGAGGGGGCTAAATGGAAGGAAATGTTAATGTTAGTTCAAATGACGCCAAAATTGGTGCTTAATGAACAAATTTCACATCTCAAAAGCTCTCTTCTGAGGCAAGTTGAAGATATTTTCCAATAGAAGCGTTAAAACGGACTATTCCACATCGACGTTGGTTAAGTCATTCCTGGGAATATAGCGATTAAAAGAAGTTATAAATTTCGATGAAGTAAGGAGGCATTTGGCAGAACTTACTAGAACCAAAAATTAATGAAGCTAAACTGGAGGCGGCAGAACTTAAGACATCTAAATGTGTCTGATTTCGATGCATGCATTTCCTTCACATATAACCACTTTATTTTGTACATCATTCATTTGACCAGATCTTAGGCTTCGTGATTGACAAATTTAAGGTTATGTTGCAAATTTTCTTGTAGTTTTGTATGTCATCGTCATGCCAAATCTGTTTGAATCGGCAGAGCGATTATATAAGCGGATATCTGGGGGTAATCAACGCTTTAGTCGGAAAGTTGACTCCCGTTCTAATGATGGGACGGCTCTCTCCTCCACCAACCCTATTGGTGGTGAGGCATCAGGACCATGGAAGAACTATTCCTCCTGTGCTAATAGTACATCGAACCTGGCTACCTCCTCGAAATCTGAGTCTAACGACCACGGTTGGGTACCTCATGCCTCGCCTCGTTTACCCCAACCCCCTGGAGATTTGACCGAAGTCTCCAGTCCCAGCGATACCGACGAAGGTGGGGGATATGATTCAGCGTTAACAAACCCAAATGAGTCCCGAAACCAACGCCTCCGACAGAGTTTACAGAGAGCTAAAGCTGCAAACTTTGAGATGCCAACTGATATTCAAAATCGTTATCCTAGTGCTGAGCATCTCTACACACAAAACACTGAAGGTTTCGGTGATGAAGAAAGAAATAAAGATGAGGGTGAGGAAGATGAAGATGAGACCTACGATGATCCGGAGCGATGCATTGACGAACAACCAGGAAGAGATGGAGACGGTGAACCTGAAAGCTTACCTCGCCCTTTTGTTGCATCAAAAATCTCGCAGTCGAGAGTTGGAATTCGTTGGTCATCCGATCCACCACAACCATTAGTAAATATTCTGCCGAAAATTAGACGCGGTCTTACCCCACCAAATACGGAATTTGTGCGAGCTATTTGTCAGCGTCAGTCCTGCCGATGTTTACTTCGTGGACACGATACACTGATGCTGTTTCCACTGTTTGATGCAGTTCTTTGCGAATCTACATGGGAGAAGATTAAGGAGAGTCAGTCATTTGCAGCCTCTTCGTCCTCTCGTTCAGCCTCTCATTTTCTGTCACGTTTACAGCATAGTCATTCCTCAGGTCCTTCATCCGAAACTCAGGCCAATTTAATAATGTTTCGACAGTGTCGAGGATGGTATGAAGTGATGAACGAGAATCACGAACCTGTACCTCACTGGACCACCACAGAGGAAGTTCGAATGGCTAAGCCTCCAACATTTCTTGTTCGTCGAGACCTAAAGTGTCTTTTGGCCCCATGTGAGCTGTGGGTGCCACCACAACTCGGCGATTGCGTTGGATCCAATCCAAACTCTGCTGCAAATAATGGCTGTGCGCCTCCACCGATTCCCATTTCCTCGAAGACTGTAATCGAAGCGGCAAACCCCAAAACTATAGCAGCTAGTACTCCTTTTATTCTAAAGCCAGGAATGCTATTGTCTTACGTTGACTATCTTCACGATTGTACTGTGAGTCGGGGAAAGAAATTAAAGCAGATATCATTGATTCTCGCGGTGGAGAAACAACGTTCCCAGCGTCAGGCTGAAACCCCTTCTTCACCCAGAAGGCTGTTTTACATTGGCACGGAGGATGCCTCAAGTCAGTCTGTTTTTCCTACCAAACTGGCACTGAGTCAAGTAGCAGGTCCAGAAAACATTTCTGGTGTGCACACACTTTCTTCAGTGCTGCGAAAATTTAGACTTCCATTGTCGATTGTACCTGTTGCAGTTCCAGAAAGAAAACTCTCCTTAATAGGCAGCAATTCAAGTAGTTTAAGCAATGACTCGGGGTCGACAAATTATGCAACTGCCCAATCCTCCAAACCTGTGAACATCTTTCCAACGGTGCCTGGAATCACCTTTACAGAACGCAATTTTATTCGTCTTCGGGGCTTACTGCGAGGAGATATTATGATTGTAGCACCGGTGGATGCTCCAGACCGATTTTTCCTTATTACTCCAACTCTGCTACAAGACCACCTCTTCCAAATTGGGTTCACGGAAGATGACAGGTATCAACGACTCGCAGCAGGGCATAAAAATCGAACTATAAACTTTATCTCGATGGCACATCCACGCGAATCCCTTGAATATCTTCTCGTTTACCTCAAGAACATCACAAATCGCCCACGAGTCATATCTTCGAGTGGCAAGAATGAGAGCGTTGGTCGAGAATTGTGGGATCGCCTCAATGCCGGAGCGCTGCAGACATGTGAGATTACTCCAGCAATGGCAAAAGCCATGTATGCGGAGACTGGAAAGGACCCTCGAACGGGACCATCTTGCGACCTTACACCAGAAGAACTAGAACTCATGTACGATGAGATGGATGACCTGTACTTTTTCACGCGAAACGGTTATTTTCCGCCGAAGTCTCGACAAAGACGATTGAGATCGAGTTCGGTGGCTCCACAACAGCCACAATTGCAACAACAAATGTCGATGATGTCTTCGAGAGTGTCCGTTGGTGGGATGCCAAGGGAACCTTTAAAACCCTCAGCTATTCCAAGTGCGGAGCAACTGTTGGCGGCTAGTCTTAACATCTCAACGTATGAATAAAGCACACAAACCCATCGCCTTGTACATTGCATCTCTTCCCCAACGCCACTTAATAACCCAATGATGTGATAACTCCTCTGAACCTTGCAAGTGACAAGACACGATTGCCAAAATCTTTCTTTCCATTGCCCTTTCACATTTCAGTCACCATTTTATAAGCATTAATTTGTTTGTTTGTTTTTTTTCTATAATCTACACTTTCATCCTTGTATTGCGTCTTGTCTCCTGAAAACTAAGTTAGGGATCTGAGTTGGCTATATAAAGAAAAAGCATTTGTTTACTGTAGCCACCTGAAGCATTTGTTAGCTTAAACCAGTTAGCAGTGATTTCAAAAACATGACTAATTATTAAAAGCCTAAATAGCACACAGTATGCTACCAGAATTCAGTCACAACGAAAACGAAGTGATGGATTCAGGTTTCTTCGCATGCGACAGTCCAGTTTGAATGGTGTGAGCGCTACACTTATCAATTTTGTTAAGGATCATTTGAGCAGTTGGGATATCATGTCGGGTGCACGTCAAATAATATCTTCAATCACTTAGTTTTGACAATAAAGTTCATGAATGGTATGTAGATGAATGGTACCGAGGCAGACTTTGCAGCCTGGTCAACAATACTGTCAATACTGACGCATCGATAATAAGCCAATGTGTTAGGCAATGCAGGATGTGAGAACTATGACAAGTCATAGTAGCCTATGTCAACTGGGATGGAGAGACTCAAAGCGAGATGTGATCGTACGGGCATCACGTGGCACAAGTGGTGGAAAACTTCAAAGGCTGTCAAATCACTCTGCGTGCTTCTTGCACAGTATGAAAGTTTTGCTGAAAGGGCTACTTAGTAATAAAAGGTACGTCTAGTAATCACCTCAACCTCATATTTCGTAAGACAGTAACAAACACAGAGCCATCGAAGTTCTGTGTTACAAACAGGCAGGTGCTACATTGTCAATGTGACTGAAAATAAACAGCTGGGCAGTTAAGTAAAACTGAAAAAAGGAACAAGGTTAAAAAATGACTACGGAACATTAGCCATTTAAAGACCTTTTAGTAAGTGTTAATAATGCCGGAAACAAACATCTCACCCTTCCCTGAAGCCGGTGACAAGCGTTAGCACCCATAAAAGGATGGCGATGGAGGGGGTGGAAAGAGACACCGTTACCAAATATTTGTTGAACCGCGCATTTATTTGCATAAACCCTTAAATCTACGCATCCGTATACAAGTACGCTTCAAAAAAAAAGCATGTTTTATGAAAATATCTTCAAAGATCAACAACTACTATAAAATAAATTGTAGCAGTTTCCAGTAAAAACGTGAAGTGACAATTCCGCATCAATAATACGGCCCTGCGTACCCGATTCCGATAGTCCTCGAAAAATGTCTACGAAATAGCTGCATCCGAGGGCTTAAAAAAGTCACAGAGACTCTCAAAGGACGGTCGCGCCTCAGGATTGGAGTTCCAACACGCCTGCATCTTGGCGTAAATCCTATCCTCGCACTGATATCCGAGTTCCCTGGGATTGCACAGTCGGTAGCCATTCTCAACCGCAGTAATCACATCGTTGTCATCGGAGATGTCTAAGAAAGGTGTTTTCCAATAAGAACAATATACACTTTATGCATACTGGTGGTTAAACACTTACTTTTCGCCATGTCTCATATAGCACACATTTGCTACTATAAGCATTTCAGTAGGAAAAATGCCTGCGGTTATGAGCCTCCGTAAGTGGAATGGTTTTTAAATAAGGGTCACTTCTGCACTCTCGCTCATTCACCTTAAGCCAAATTCGTCGGTGCATAAGGTTTCATTCATAAATAAGTGTGAATGAAAGTAGCTTACCGTCATAGGGAAATCCTCCGTACGTAAATATTTCGTACAATAGAACGCCAAAAGACCAAACATCAGATTTAGTGGATTGAAAAACACAGGCATCCATTGCTTCTGGCGGTGTCCAACGCACAGGAAACATTCCATCTACACAAGCATTTGAACGAAGAAGTTAGAGCTTAGAATAATATTACTACTTCAACGTTATCGATTTCTTGCAAATGTTAGCACTTAATCGCACGCACTTATTCCCGCATGAACAATAAGGCAATTGGCTAATAAATTCTTAACTCAATTTGACAACGCTACTGACGATAGCAGTTAGCAGAGCGCACCACATATATCACGGCCATCATTGTGGAGAATTTTTGTCAGTCCAAAATCGGCCACCTTTACTGAATTATCTGCATCCACTAAAATATTTGCTGCTCTTAAATCGTTGTGAACAGCTCGGCGCCGCTCCAAATACGCCATTCCATCACTTATCTAGAAAAGGAACAACAGATGAAATCCAATGAAGTCCGTCAGCAGGACAACCAAATGGAATAATTTTGTAACACCCTAATTCCGCCTATGAATAGACACTATCGACGGTTCTACTAGCTGCTGACTAGCCGACCTGTGCCAAAAGGATCACAGAACCAATCAACACCTTGAGCGTGTAAAAGAAGGTTGCTAGCATCCCGTCATCGCCATATCTTCCATCTACCCTACACCGCCACATCCTGATCAACCAATATCACAAGATCTGCTCCCAGTGATAGTGTGAGGAGAGTGATTGACTTGATGCACTCCAGGAAGAAGTTAAAGCTACTGGAGATGGAAGAGAGGAAATGAATTCGTAATAGACTGTAAACAGTTTAAATTTTGCAGCACACCACTACGGCGCCTCTACTTACCTGGTAAACGAAACCTAGCATTTCCTCATATGATGGTTGCTTATTCCGAAGATACCCATCTAGAGCTCCACATGGCATGAATTCTGTAATAATCATTATGGGCTCAGAGGAAGGCTCGCAACACACACCCAAAAACCGCACTAATCGTGGATGATAGAGCTGATGCATGACCTCGGCCTCCTTCACAATTTCCTGTCGTGGTGTGGTAGCCAAAGCGCGTTTTACAGCCACATCAACACCACGATAGATGGCCAACCAAACCTCACCGAAGTTTCCACTGCTCAGGCGACGCTTCAACGCAACGCTTGCCCGACTTACGACGCAGCTGTTGAATTTCTGCGTACTATAACTCAACTTCGGGCATGGAGCGCGGAGTGGCACTGCAAGTGAGCAGGTTTTCGAATCTAAAACACCATGAATTAAGTGGATATAATCTTTCTCATATGATACAAATCACAGACTTCTTAAACTAAGCACCATTTATATCAGACTTAGACTTCAATTTCATTATCGAATACATAAACTATACTCTACATTACCCCAGTTGAACAAGCTATCGAGTGCAACCAAGTGCTGTTCATGACAGTAGTTTACAACTCCCCTTCAACTTAGTGGCATATGTGAATTTTAAACTTGCCTAGGAGCTAGAGCTAACGCAAAGACAGGCAAATTTACAATCACCTAAATCTAGTCATATGAAGATCTTAGATTAGACGGATGATGGCTTTCGCTGGCAATGCAATCCTTCTACTTGACTTTCATGATCCAATAGGAATAGGCAGATATCGGTGCCAAACCGACGCCACACTTATCGAAAGGCAAAACGGAGTATTCGCGATCATCAAATACGATAGTGTTACGCAAAACTCAAGCAATAATAAGAAGTTATTTTCCCAATACCTCGCTCCCTTAGACTATGAAACGGTCTCATTCACTCACCACAGTAGAACTTAATTAGTTCGCCCAGACTTTTCCATTTCTCATCGCTACTGAGGTAATATTCTCTACTTGCGGCATCATAATTTATGTGGTAGTGTTGAACATAGGCGCTTGAATTCTCCCTTACCAACACCGAGAGCGTGAGCCTTCCCACATCTGAAAAATGGAGAATACGCAATCTCATGCTATATTCAGGTAGCAAAGAAAAATTGGATGCATTTAAACACGCAAAAAGTAAAAACTAAATTCGTACACACATTAGTTTCTTACCTTTGGTAGGACGTACTATAAAGGTGCCAGACTGAATGACGGGCAGAAGTAGTTGAGCCTCAGCTTCTGCTCTTGAAATGCACTGGAAAGCATCAAAGACCACAGATGTGCCAGTTTCATCAGTTAGGAAGTTTGTGGGCACCAGGCCAACATTACCATTTCGCCAATCACGAGCCCTCAGCCATTGGTTTTCACCAGCTTTGGTCATAATGGAACTTTTTTTGCAGCTATAGCTGCTATTGTTGGTGGCACGCACGAAAGACAGAGAAACAGGTGTCTCAACGAGAAGAATATCACCACGCCGAAATGACAGTTCGTCCGAACTGCTGCAGTTGAAGTCAAAAGCGCACAGCATTGCACGTTCATAGATTATGGATTCCTTTTTCGTCACATCTCCAAAAACGACCTTCTTAGATGTAGATTTGGTGGCCAACACCTTCACAAACTTGCCTAAGCTTCTGGTCATGCTGTTATTTAAAAATTCCGTTGTGAGAACTCTATGAGGCCGCGGGAGCAAGTGACAAGCGAGTAATGGAGATAAAACTTATAATGGGATGCTAACATTCATACTCCCAAGCTATTATGAAAGGAAATGATTGCAGAGATTTTGAAGGAACACAAAATCAAAAAAGCTTGTAAAATGTGGTCATATCGCTACTTCAAAAGGCATGTGTCTACTTGGAATACAAAAAGGAAAACCAGTGACGTAGGCGAACATTTACCAAAATGCCTCAAGCAGAAGTATTGGAGGAGAAATGTGAAATTCGAAAAACAATTTTCAGTGCAGTGCGGGCTGCATGAGTAAAAACTAAGTATGCAATGAAGTCAACCATCAGGAAACAAATAACGCAACACTCACCACAAGTTCTAAAAATCATTAGCAAGATTCGAAGGTCAATAAATAGGCGACTTGAACAAATATTACCGAAAGTCCTGCCGTCAGCGTTAACGGACTCAAGTTATCACTAGGTGACTTATTGGTATGTCATTTAATTTATCTTTATCAGTGAATGTGATAGATTTACGAATACAGGTTGGATATGCTGGTCAATTATAAAAGGAACTAAATAATTGGTCATAATAATTATTTTGGCTAAACAAGCATCCTTATCTTTTAGTTCTGTGTGTAGCACTTAGTTAATGTACTCGTCTGATGTCTGACGTTACAGTGGTTCTTACAATGCCCTTTTGATCGGTGTTCGGCTTTTGGGCCAAACTTAGCTTAAATCCGTTCTGACCCTACTAAAATACATGCGTTCAGCCGTACCTAATGCGTTTTATACGCAGAGAGAAGTCTTGCAGAGCTGCATCGTGATTTCCGACTAGATAAGTTGGTCATTATACCAGTATGTTTTCGTAGTAGCCAAGGGTTACCTGCGAAATTAGACGATTACAAATGATCCATGTTTAGATTTCTGTCGCATATACTAATGTATTTAAGTTGACCTTTATTGGTGCGGGGTACAGAATGAATTTGAACACAAATTTAATTCATGAGGAGTCTGAAGCGCCGTTCTCATGTGACGTTCGCTTCGCGTCTCGTCTATTCGTCAAGTAACTCCCTATTGAAATATGAAGGTGAGCAAGCAGTTCATACACTGGTGACAGTGCAGGTCGACATCACTCCTTCTAAAGAAGACGGATTTTAATGTCTGGCTTCTCTTCACAATGGCTAATCTCGAGCTCTACGACCCTGATTAGTGGTTGCCCTTGCTATTTCGAGCTTTACCGTATGATCTACACCGCGAGGCAATGAACGTGAGTACCATTCTCACCTCAGACACATAAGAACTATCTGAAGTCCTAGTTGAGATGGCATGCCTACCCAAGGGACGACTGCTGGCTTCGAACTTTTACCAGCCTATTTAGGAGCGTAGAGTTGGCGGATAGTCTCCAACCTCTAAGCAAAGAGCTCTCAAAAACTGCTGTTCCCTCCCATTCGCTGCATGAATAACGGCTTACCTGACTTGGCAGAAAAACCAGATCATATGAGAACAGGCAACTTGAGATGCCTCATTAACGTGACGATAGTTAAGTGTCAGGAGCCGCAATTCGATCGGGATTCAACACTCGCTTTCATCTGCAGACTCCTGAGAGACGGCCTACTCCTTTCTCGATCCCTTGCTTATATGCAGGTGTGGGGCAAAATGAAAGGCCACACATGCACTTTCCTTCCAGATTTGGAGGCTGTCCATTCGTTATTATACCCGAAGTCTTCTTGATAATTTGTACAATGTTCGTATCGATCCACCAATTACTAAACTACGCTTTGGGAAGGAAGGAAATAGCGGTGAATGAAAGTTAGCATATAGTTTTGTTTGGAATGTCTTATTAGGAACCAACTTTTTATACCAGTCTGGAGCAACCCATTGAAGGTCCAAAAAGAAGCGTCCAACCTCTCAGCCAAAGAAGGATTCAGACGACATATGCAGGTCCCTTTTAGCTCCCCTTGGCGTCAGCTGGATCAAGCTGAGCGATATTTGCGACCACCTAAAACAGGTTACTAATGTTGATAGGAAGGAAACGCACTGTCTCCTAAAGAATTACTCACAAATGATTTCTTTGGCTAGCATGAAACTGGGACGAGCGAACGTGATCAAACACACAATTGATATCGATGCGACCAAGCCGATGTAGCAGTTATCTAGCCACGTTTCACCCCTCTTCCCTTCAAGACGAAGAGCATCAGTTGATGGACGAGATGTTGCGCGACAATGTAATCAAGCCCTTTAAATCACCCTGGGCCTCTCCCATCGCATTAGTGAATAAGAGCGGTGGCAGCTCACGTCTATATGTAGAATACGTGGGGCTCAATGCAGTAATAAAGAAGGATGTGTTCCTCCTACCCCACATTATCGACTCGTTGGACTTCCTCCAAAGGACCAAGCGGTTCTCCACGTTCGACGTAGAATCCGGCTGCTCTCAAGAAGAAGCAGTGAAAAAAACAAAGAAAAACGGCGTTCATTGTGCCATACGGACTCTACGAATTTCAAACAATGCCTTCCGGAATTCGCACCTCAGCGGCCACCTTTCAGCTATTTATGTAGACGGCATTGCGCAGTTTGCTCCCAAAACCCTGCATTGTCTATCTGCACGACATTCTCGTTTTCGAGAGAGATTCGCAGCGGTATAACTAAAACCTACGATCAGTGCTAAACGCCTTCAGGAAGCAGGTCTGACGTTAAAGTCGAAAAGTGTAGTTTCTCCAAACCACATTTATGTTTTTTAGGGCACTTTCCGCCTATGGCATGGCAGTCACGGAAGACCGAACAAGACAAGTTAGGACGTGGGAGACACCTGTCGGTCAGATGGAACTTCGCAGCTTCCTTTGTTTGGCTAACTATTATCAGCTTTTTACCAGTAGTTTTGCCAAGATCTCGGGTGCTCTGCAAAAGTTGACCGATAAACAGGCGTAAAAGGAGTTTCAATGGGAAAATGAACACAAAATTTAAGGCATTTAAGTACGCTCTCTGTGCGGCCCCGACCTTGGTTTTACCAAACCTCAATGCCGAGGCTTCACCTTTTGTGTTGAATACAGATGCAAGCGATGCAACGGTGTGACACTATAACGCGTTCTATCTGACAATGACACAAACCAGATAGAACATGTGGTCTCGAATGCCAGCTCACTTCTGAGCAAAAAGATGAGACCGAAGGGTGCAACAGAACGGGAACTGTTCGCCATCCATACAATGGTTAGGCATTTTAAACACTACTTGCTAGAAAAGCAGTTCGTTGTGAGGGCAGACCGTCAAGCACTAACATGGTTGAATGCGATGGAAGAGATTGACCGTTCTGTTGCGAGGTGGTGCGAAGAATTATAGAAATATGGTTTTATCATGCAGTATAGGAAAGGAAGCTCTCATGGCAATACAGACGCATTGTCATGGAGACCTCCCTCCCAGTCCACTGATAACGACACAGTACATACGCAGCTATCAAGCGAAACTACTTCCCATCACAGCAGAAGCACACAGATCTCTGATCTCTGAGAGCCTAAGGATACCCTCAATCAAGCTCGTGGTTGAGGAAATGACCTCAGCGAGTAAGAGAGCCAAACAAATATGGCCGAAGTGGGAATAACTCTCCCAGATGATGACATCATATGGTACAAAGACGACAATGCGGCAGGTCCTAAACGTCTCGTAGTACCAGATTCCTTGATGCAGAAATCCCTGTTGGAAATGCATGAGCAACTTGGCATTGTGAAGAAAGGGAGATGGTCGAAGCCACAGGGGATGTCTCCGATTTCTACCGTATGTGTGCCACGTGCACCAGCTTCAAGGTCTCACACCGCACCGCGATAGCTCTTCTTCAGCCAATACCTACGAACTTTCCAGGGTAGTGAGCAGGCACAGATATTATGGGCTCACTTCCAACGACCACGAGAGCAAGTCATTATGTTCTGGTGATGGTGGACTGCTTCACTAAGATCGCGTAGGCTGAAACGATACAGACGTAGGACAGTGAGACAGAGACAACCACATTCTTAGATTGCTGAAACTGTCAACACGGCGCACCTAATTCTGCACATAGCGACCAAGGTCCGAACTTTGAAAGTCGTCTCTTTAAAGAGGTGTACGAAACCTTTGAGATTCGTAAAACTTATACAATGCCGGGTCACCCCCAGGACAAAGAGTAAGGAGAAAGAACGAAACATACTCATATGGATCTACCGAAGACCTTTGCCTAAGAATGCAATCTGAGGACTACAATCAACACCTGGAACAAGTCCACCTTGCCTATTTAGCTTCCTCTCACACAAAGACTAGAGTCCCACCATATAAGATGTTCACGGGGCGTAAAAGCGACGGTTCCTTAGAATACTCCTTGCTTGTAAGAAATCAACAGTAGGCGACGCTCGTCCCTACGACTAGTGATTAAGGAAATTCATAAGAAAGTGTTAAACTCCGTGTGCATAAAACTACAGAAAGCGGAATTAATCGCATATAACGCGCAAAACTTGCCTTCCGACGATTCCGTCATCCACCCAAGCTAACATGCTCAGCTATTTTAAGCCTTCC